GGATTCTGGGCAGGCCAGGCCCTGGGACGTGCTACCTTGGGCTTCGTGACAGAGCGTTATGGAGAAAGGCTTTGCATCAGCATTTACATCGCCATCTGTCTCGCCCTCCAGCTTCTCTTCTGGCTTGTTCCCCAGTTCATCGTTTCAGCCATTGCGGTGGCTTTCCTCGGGTTCTTCCTGGGGCCGATGTTCCCTGGAGCAGTCATGATGACAGCCAAGCTACTCCCGAAGCACATCCATGTCAGCGCTATTGGCTTTGCCATGGCTATTGGTGGTACTGGTGGAACGGTTTTTCCGTTCATCATTGGCGCGATTGCGACAAGTAAGGGTGTTGCTGTACTCCAGCCGATTGTCCTGTCGCTGATTGCAGTCGTGGCTATCGTGTGGCTTTGCTTCCCTCGCATCAAGAAGCGGGATGAGAACATTATGTCTGGTCTATAAAAAAGAGGTATAACAAGGCGCTGTCCTTGACTGTACAATTGCCCACGTAATTTGTTGCCGAGCCATAGATGTGGACAGATGAAAGATAGAGCTCATCGATCGATCCACCACAGACACACTGCAGTGGGAATCAATTTGGGAGAGAAGCTTCTGCTCAGTTTAAAGAGTAAACCGCACACTTATATACAATGCCTCCAAATAATCCAGCTCTGGCAAACGGTTGGACCCCATATGTACACAACAGGGGCGTATGTCAACAGACCAGCAGCGTTGCTCGTATACACTGAGTCAAGTATGTACAAAGAAATATCATTTCATCCCACCATACCATAAATACGACATCCAAACCGGCTGGTGATCCAGTTACAACTTTTGGCCAGCAGCGCCGGGGACGGAACCAGCAACCTTGCCGGAGCCGAGGGCGGCAATCTTGTAAGGCAACGAGGCAGAGGTGAGGGTTCCCTTGGGAACGGAGTTCTTGGAGCCACCGAGCTCGACGTCCTCAGCGACGGCGTATCCGGTCTCCTTGGAGTCAGCGAAGAAGATGGCTTCGGCGGGGCAGCTGTTAAAGGCGGTGCTCTGGACAAGGACCTGGGCGCCCATGCGGGAGTTGATACCGGTGAGCAGGAGCTTGTCGTAGTATGAGTTGACGACGTGGACGGTACCGAAGCGGACGAGAGGAGTACGGGAGTTGATGTTGGTCCAGTGGTTGTTGGCATAGGTGACGTGAAGCTTGCCCTTGTCCTCGCTGCCGTTGCTGTCAGAGTGACCGACCAGGGATCCCTTCCACTGTATTATCGTTGTTAGTTTGGAACTTGTTGAGAACCAAGAGACAGAAGCCAGGATCATAACAGGACTTACGTGGTCGTGGAAGTAGACGTTGGAGACCGTGATCCAGTCAGCACCGTGGGAGATGTCGAGGAGACCATCGAGGTCATCCTTGCCTCCGCTCAAGTCACCAGAAAGGTCGCAGTGATCAACCCAGACGTTGGTGGACTCATCGATACCAATGGCATCACCATTGCTAGCCTTGACACCGCCGATCTTCAGGTTGCGGATAATGACGTTCTTGACCTGGCGGACGTACAGGCCAACGTTGTTGAGGGCTACAGAGATATTGACATTAGTATAACAGTGCGTAAGAGGCGGTAATTGTAACCTTCACGATACTTACAGCTGCCCTTCTCTCCGATGATGGTCTTGTCAGAAGAAACGCGGACCTTGGCGCTGCCAGAGATGGCCCCGGAGATGACTATGGTAAGGGGACCCTCCTTCTTAGCGGCAGCAACGAGCTCATCGACAGTCTTGACGGTAACACTGGAGCCGCCGGCACCACCGGTGGTACCTTCGCCTTGGGTGCAGTAGCCGATGTTGCAAGCCTCGGCGGCCTGGCGGAGAGCAAGCTCGTTGCGGGCGGTGACGATGTTGGCAGGCGAAGCCGCGGCCAAAGCAGCCATGAAGGTGACAGCTGGAAACTTCATCTTGGTGGTGTTGAGTATCTTAGCCAAATAGGCTGGGTAAGGAATCGGTTCGGATGAATAATAGGTAAATGTCGTGAAGCGGGTGACTAGCACTACCGAAGTTGATGGAATGGGATGAACAGGAAAGAGAATGAAAGACTTGAAAGGCGCGATGGAGAGAAAGAAGAACTGTTGGTCCGACCTATCGACGGCTGAGTCTTATATATAAAATACAAGCGCCGGATTCCGTTTCTCGTTTAAAGTGAGGTAAGATGGCGCCATTGGTAGTTGTGGTAACTTGCAAGAAGGCCAGTCCGCGGCTCCACGTTGACAACTGCATTGCTGGGCGTTTCCAACTGAGCGCATCCCTTGAGCTCATCGAGACCCTTATTTATTTCGCCTTCTGTGTAGTCCAAGATGATCTTACAAACATGACAGGGCATGGGACGGACTAGACGAGGATTCCGTCGATAAAGACGCCTTGGCCGAAGGATACAGCAAGAGGTGATTGGCCTCTAGCGCGGCCGTTACATTGACATGAACGACGCAAGTAAGGAAGACCGATGTCTTGGCCCGTCCCATGACGGCCAGGGTACCAAAACCAGAGAACTGGGCACGACTTCATTTCCTAAAAGAACGCGAGAGAATGGCTCCTGTCCGATATTGCCCGTCTTCTGGTAATATGGCCTGGTGTGGTTGGGAAGTGCAGGGGTTGCGAATAGGCTCATTCGGCTGTTGCTGGCAGGGCCTAGCTGAACCCACCGAGGGCAGAAGACCGAGCCAGTGCCCCCCCAGCTGGGCAGCCGTCCGCAGTAACGCTGAAGGTGTGACCCTGCGCTAGAGTTGTACAGCTGCTATGTTTCGGATCAGCAGGGTGAGTGGCTTTTGCGCGCGGCACCCCAGAGATAGATGAACGCCAAGATGCTGTCTAAATGAACGAGGACTGGTCGTTGGAGGAATAACTCAAAGCAGAGCGTCGCCGTGTGCAGAGCGGATGGCGCCGCCTATCTAAGAAGATGCGCTGCTGATCTGATGGGGGTTATTGTCATGATGAGTGTGGGGGGATGACCCCTGGCCTGGTTGCTCATAGCGAGTTGCCAACGAGTTGATGACCGGCTCCCATCTCTTTACACCTTTTACCTCACGTTGAAAGCCCATCTTACGGCGAGTTCTCAACTATAGAGGAACACAGATGCGAAACGAAACTTCTATATCTTACTTCCTTGTAACTTCCCGGCACTTTGCGATCACTTCGCAGCGAACTTTATCACTCTCAGACAGTATGCCCGTCATGATGCAAGAAGTGAGGGGGGCGGTCATTGACCTGTGCATCTACCCGCAACCTTGGCATGTTGCACTATTGAAAAGGGGGATTAGCTGCCAAGAATGCGAATATTGGCATTCTGCACTGCCAAACTCTGCTTTCCAATCATCGTGCAGTTCAACTGCCTACTCCACCATTTTCTCACTTCTTACCAAGCACGAGAACAGAAGACAATAGCGGCCTTGTGTTGCCCATTCAAGGCGGGCGTATCCCGTGGCCTCCTCCTCGCCTCTCACGAGTCATCGATGCACCAACGTACTCAATCCAACTGAGCCGATAGCGCCAAGACGTCTATATCGAACCAACCTTGGCATTCTACAACGCAGGAGATTGGAACCTGAACATCAAACGGCTCGTATTCGATCGGCAGAAATCCACAATCAAGGGGAGAACGTCTTGCTCTCAAGAGAAAGGAGAGAGCAAGATCCGCTAAATCAAGGACTCAGCTGGTAGCTACGTCTAGCCAGACGTATGTCGGGGGAAGATTGTTGTCAACGAATACAATTCAAGGTCGGTTGCGATGTCTGGTCAGACCCAGCAGGTCAGCACTCCCTCTAGCCTTTCAACGACTCCATAGCGTCATGTATGCCTTCTGTACTAACCAATGCCGAAAAGGTTAGCACCTGCGGTGACACCATTTTGTCTTAGGATCTCTTTGCATAGCGACGGCTACCGGAATCCTTCTCGATATCGACCGACGGTTGCATCTTGCCGAACTCTTCAGATCGCCCGGGTCATGTGGCATTCTTCGCCATTGACTAATTTTGCACGAATGAAACTGTTTCCTCCGTCTCCGAATGACCATACGGAAAAGCCACCGACATGCCTTGAAGAAGAAGGTGGGTTGATCAAAGCTAACATTACATCCATCTAAGGATTCCACTCCACTGTAAGCGATTTCCGGTTAGATTCAATTTGCTGCATTGATTCGACTCAGGCACAGTATCCGCATTGATCGAGGAAGGAAAGGTGACCTCGGACGAAGAATCAAGACCATCAATGACGACCTCAATAGCTATTTTTGTGTTCTTGATCTGCATCTCGAGAGATATTAGATGATCACCAGAAACGAAATCGGCGCTTCGCTCAGCCTCGTATTGCTATGAGCTTCGAATCAGTTGCCAGTCTGCTAATAGGTTGAGCAATTGTCAGCGCGCAGACTGCACAGCATTCAGGATGCTTGCCACACTTTTAAGGGCTTATGTCTGGAAGCATAATACGTCTCGGAACCTTGGTATTCTTTGTTACTTGACGCATGTGTCTCGCTACATATCTTCGTGGGCTTTGCTAACGGCTCGTCGCTTTAGATACTTCCAGAGGTGTTTTTCCGAGCATCCACTGGTCTTCAGTTGACTATCGATACAACTCCCCCATCTCTCCGATAGTCGAGCAGCCTGATTTGAGAATGTTTCGATGCTATGGCCCAAGTTCTCGTCCATCATCCATAGGTACTGGGAGCACACGTATGAGTGGCCTAACAGGACATAGAACGGAGTCATCCCATGCTAACCAGTGGTCTGCTCGGTCGTCCGGTACTATGAGACATAAAGGCCTCTACCTAAACATTCCCTCTTCTTTTCCCGTCAACTCTCATGCAATGGTTGGCAACGACCTATTTTCTTTCGGTCTAATTACCTCTGCGTGTCAAATTCGCATTTTATCACCACACAAACCCCTTTCGGATCAAGATGAGGCAGAGAAATGTTTACGATCTGGTTGCCTGGTCATGAGAGACCAAGAAATAAAGCACTAGAGCAAGAGTCCACCACCTGCATATGCGTCCTCTGTTCTCTAATCCTACCACTCTCTCGATGCCCTTTAACGGCAGCAAATATCCCACAAGCGCATCATTCAGTATACCACCAAGCGGGTGTCATATCGGTCTAGGCGGCCGAGCTCAGCCTCATCTTAGATACCTACCCCGAAGTCGACATTGATAGCGACCTGGGTTATCGCAAAGTAGTAAGTTCAAGCTCCAGCGCCGCTAGTAGGTGTTCGCCTTGCTAGATACGGCTGTGGGGAGACGCTTCCTTCACCGAGAATCCCTACTCAACCTTTTAGTGCCAAGGTTACGTGACCTTCACGTCACAATGCAGTGTCCCTCGGATGTAATGAAGAGTCAGGAGCACAAGAGTGCGCTTGGTCTCAACTCTCGAGTTGGTCTTCTCTTTCGTCGGTACAAAAGTCCATCGTAATTTAAGGTTATCGGGGCTTCTAGCGTTGGCGATGGTTGTAGATAACGTAGGGAGCGGACGACATAAAATGCGGGGTCGGTCCGGCGCCGGTCACGGGTCTCACGGGTTGAATCGGCTGACCCCTGCTTCCCCTCACATCGCCGTCGGCATATCATGACGAAAGAAAGATAAGAATGCTGTTGGTATATCACTCTTCTTCTTTCCACGGCTTCCTTACGTCTCAATACACCTCTCAAGTTTCTCTGCCTTTGTTTTGAGAGAGTACGGCTATAGACCCATTTCACTTTGAACCTCATTCCTCTCAATCAAACATGTCTGATATCAAGAAGTACCAGCTTGGAGACTTCGCCCTTCAAAGTGGTGGCTCATTGCCAGGAGCATGGATCGCATATAAGACATTTGGCGACCCATCCCTTCCAGCGGTTGTCTATCCTACCTGGTACTCCGGCGCTATTGCGGACAACGAATGGCTAGTGGGAGACGACAAGACCTTGAACCCGAAAGACTATTTCATCATCATTCCGGCCCTGTTCGGCAACGGACAGTCCGTCAGCCCTTCCAACTCAGACATCAATCCATTTCCCGACGTGTCTTTCTTCGATAACGTGAAGGCGCAATACGAATTGGTTACCAAGGAACTCAAGATCACCCATCTCAGAGCCGTTCTAGGATGGTCTATGGGCGCGGCTCAATCTTTCCAATGGGCGACGCAATATCCCGACTTCTTGGATATCGCAGTCCCATTTTGTGGCGCCGCGAAGTGCGCCCCACACAATCAAGTTTTCTTGGAAGGCGTCAAGTCGGCGCTTCTCGCGGCAAAGAAGACCAGCTCAGCCGGCAGTACATTAGGACGCATTGCATCAACCGGGGACAAGTCTGCCAGGGTCTGGTCAGACGAGGAGAAGCAAGTTGGCCTTAAAGCTTTTGGTCGCGGGTACGCCGGATGGGGCTTTTCCCAAGCATTTTACCGACATGAGCTGCACAAAAAGTTTTACGGAGCCAAGGATCTCGAGGACTTCATGCAATCGTTTTGGGAGAAGTGGGCTCTTAGCAAGGACCCGGAGAACTTGCTTGTCATGATTCACACGTGGCAAAGTGCCGATGTGAGCAATCAAGAGCCATACAATGGCGATTTCAAGAAGGCCATGGCGAGCATCAAGGCTAAAACTTTGGTGCTGCCCTCCAAGACTGATCTCTACTTTCCGTAAGAATCTCGCTCTAAATACCGCCATGACTAATACTGACAGTTGCAGGCCCGAGGACTCTGAGTATGAGGTCGAGTGTATGAGTGAAGGCGTCGGTGAACTGGCTGTTTACCCTTCCATTTGGGGCCATTGGGCTGGAGGGCCCCCGGGGAACTTTGAAGATGTCAAGTGGCTAGACGACAAGCTGAAGAACATCTTCGCTATAGCGCCAAAGAGGAGTTAAAGAGGTCCAGGAGTTGATTGCGAAATATGCGGGGCATGGCGTCGTGACCAAATTGTGTCCTTTCGCTAAAAGCAATAGTTAATTTGTGCACTTTACCAGGAAAGAAGACACCGCCTCTTTCTAAGTCCTATGCCGGTGTGCTATTTCAACTATCTACTAATAAGATGTAAGAGACAGACATATGTTACTGTAAGCACCAAGAAGACATTCAATCTCTCACTTTCTGAGGTCTCTACACACTGGACCTTCCTGCCATTGTCCCTTTACTTTCGTAGGGCTGGCTGAACGGTGATACCCTCAAACTTCTGCCGAATCTCTGTAGTTACGCCAGACATATCGCAGAGATCTTTATCATGCAACATGTCCGAGCGGGGCACCCAACTTCCATGTATGCCATTGCGTAGCCGAAAAGGTAGTTCAATTATTGCCACAGGGCCTGATTCAATATCTTTGGCGTCGAGGATCAAAATGCAGGACAGTCTGACATCTCGTCTGTTCGCGATGGTCACAAGAAAGCCGTCTCCTTCCGCAGCTTTGAAAATGTCAGTGAACCCAGCACTCGTCTGATGTTTGTTGCTCAATGGAATACTTACCCTCCGGGGACCTTGGTAAGAAAGCTACCTCATGTAGGGAAGTATGTTCCCCCGCAGACCAGTGATCATACTTCCCGGTGTTGATATCTGCAGCTGCAATGGTGTTGTAAGTCCCACCGACAGGACTGTACTTGGCCTTTGGATCATGAACGCAAAGGAACAGTTTGCTGTACGCTTTGGTTGCGAATCTTTCATCAACCTTGGGCATTTCGCCATCGAGGGCGACGAGCTCGGTCGGCTCAACTTGGAAGGTTGTTGCGTTGGGATCGAGCTTCCAGCGCACATAGCTACTAGCAGGTTGTCCCACCGCTGCTTTACCGCTTGGGTGAGAGAATGGGTCTTCGCCTCGTGGACTAAAGAACCAAAACTAGTGCACGAGTTAGAGAATGCTTTTAGGAGATAGTCCTACAGAATGCGCACCTTGTTATGGTGGGTAAGGGGCGCGTCGAGGTAAACACATCCGTCTTCGCCTTCGAACGCGTTTCCGGTGTGTCCGTAGAAGGCGTTCTTGAAGTTGAACCACCGAACATCTTCAGGTTTAGGGTTTCGCCGCGGCAGAAGACCAAAGGTCAGGGTCTTGTCCTCAGCCCATGCGAAATGCTTCGATCCTTGCTGCAGTATTTCAACTGGCTGTGTCTCAAGTGGAATGAGTACGAATACGATCCAATTCTTGGTCGCTGCCATATCGTGCATCATTCCCACATACGGCGTCTTAATCCAACATTCTTCGAGCTTCTCCCCGTTCTTATCGAAGAGATAGTATGCAACATCATTTGTCGCATCGCCTTTAGCTTCATAGCCCATGGTGATCAGCTCTCCATTGTCAGGGTCAATTTTCGGATGCGCGGTAAAAGTTGGAGCTGAGTACTGCCCATGAAAGTCGTACAATCCTTCAGCTTTGAATTAGTTGCATGTAGAGAACAGACATGCATTGGTCAGTTGAGTGACGATACCTTACCTCTGGTTTCAAGGGAGTCCGGGTCCATTGCGTACGGCCTAGAGTCTTCTTTCAATGCCAGTAGCTGGTTTTCGAAATACACAATATGAGTGTTCGCAGTGGAGTGAACCTCATGCTTCACTCTTGGGTCGTCTGAGTAGCGGTTTCGATATTTGCCAAAGACTGACTGCCTCGCTGCCCTCTCAATGTTAAACTTGGCAGTGCGCACATACTTCTGCTTGAAGTCGGCGTGACCGTTCCTGATTCGAACTGCATCTATGGCGCCATCCCCGTTGATGAAAACATCGTCTTCGTAAAGAGGGGCCCAAGACCAGTCGGGCATGCAACGGTAGTATGTTCCGTCTATCTCTTGTGGGATTGAACCGCGGACAATGCAATTATAGACTTCCGCTTCGAAACGGCAAGGTGCTTCTGGCCCATCAAAGAATGGCGTTGGAGGGAAGTTCGTCTCCTGCTGTGCCTTGAGAGACCTCGAACAGTCAGAAAGGTTAGGCATGTTGCTATCTTGATTTGTTTAAACCTTGGGGATGCCCATTGGATTCGTCCGTCTTTCGATGGATAGTTATACTACCAGATGACTTATTCGGGTAGCCCGGCATTATCTCAATAAACGTCTTCGGTTTTACTACGCTACTTCTAGTAACCGAGACCGACTACGAGTAGTTGCAATCGAAACACCATGATCATCATTGAAAAGTACAGTAATCGATTCCCAGGCTTTTCCTCCTTGACGCTCCAAACTCTGTATCATCTGCCGAACAGTGACGCTGCCACACTTTCCAACGGCGACCGCTATGCGGAGATGGCGGGGGCGGAGACCGAGAAGGGATTGAACTGCCGGTCGACCAGGGATGCTAGGTCAACTACAAAGGGTTCAGTGATTGGTGGCCTAGGACGGAGACCGACCTCAAGGTTTCGGCTCTGGCCGTGCGTTCATTCAGTATGCTTACCAGGTAGGACGGAGGACCGTATAAATCGAGTGTATTGACCTGGATAAGTCAACATACCCACTTCCTGGCACCCCCCTGTTTCTGGCACCACAAAAACGATGGGATCACAACCCAACCTCCTCATTACTATTAACTATTGATCCTCAACCACACCCACTACAATACAGCTGCCAGCCTCACTAGGGCATTCAGAGTCGCTGGATTCAGCCGTGATAACCTCCTTTTCACCCGCTTCGATTTGAGCCCGATGGATATCCCTGATGTTCGCGAACTTCGTATTGGGATCG